CTTCTACTTTTTTATGAGCACATTGAGTCATCCCGCCACGAAGACCTTTTTCAATCATTTCATACATATCTTTATTATGTATTTGTTGAAGTCTAACACCAGTCAGAGATAAAAAGGCAGACCAAGAATAATTAGGTAATGTTATGTAATGTGCAGGGTCTAATCCATAAAAATTTAAACACATATCCCTAAAGTTTTCAAACACATCACTAAGCAAATAAACATCTGTCATCAAATATAAATCATGGTATTCACCTAGGTTTTTGATATTGAAATTATCCCATATTACTTTTGCCCTTGTGTGTTGTGTATCTGTTATACCTTCTTCATATAATTTACTGTAAAAGTCTTCTATATTCGGTAATTGCGATTCATTGAATTTATCAAATGAATTCATGTAGTCGTAAGGATAAACTCCTTTTTCAGTTAATAAGTCTAAATCGGGTATATTTCTAATATATGGATTTGCTGATGAAAATCGGAAATTATCCTTCCAGTCATTCCGCTTTTTATATATAGGTTTATCATGTTCATCTTTACCTACTATGTCATATTTATTTAACTTAACTAATTTATCCAAAGATGCTGAGAGAAAAGCCATGCTATCTTTAAACTGTAATGAACCAAATGAAAATGTAATAAACTTTTCGCTATTTTGTGCTATTACATCTATTCTCTTATTTTCGTTCAATTCCTTATTTATTTCATTTGCTTTGCCCATTATTAAGTGAGAGTCATAGTTTTTTTAATTATGAAAAAATACTGGTATCTTGAAATATCTAAATGAATAATCCAAATTACATTTTTCGTGAGCACAACCTCTATACTCACCAGTAAAATGACAGTGGTCTCTGACTTTTGTATCTTCTGGTTTAAAATTCTTATTACATATTGAACATACAGTAGCTTTTCTAAATTCTGCTTCTTGTTCATCTGTAATATCCATTGGTTTATTAACATTCATTTTATCAAAAATATCTTTTTTAATTTCTCTTAATTTATTTACAAAGTGGTCTAAACAATCCTCTCCACGGTATAAAAAAGGTTGACTTGTATTATCAATAGAATTTACAACATTCAACATATAACCGCATGGTTTATGTTCCTGATACGTGCCCTTGATGCCATTATTTGAATTTACAGTTATACACTCAAAATCTCCATAAACAACAAATGGACATTTTAATTTTGTATTGTATTTTTCAAATTCAATATAACTACCTTCTTTTGGTAATTTAAACTGTTGTCCATGTGTTGCCATACAACCAGTTTCATAATGTTTTGTTAATAAATCCTTTCTAGTAAAGGCATGAGAACAATAATGACAATAATGTTTTGGTTGGTCATTTTTGTTTGTTTGCCAGTTCATTAGACGACTTAGACTTTTAATAACTACATAATGATTATTATTATTGATTTCAATTTTCAAAAGGTTTATTTGATGTTTAGCATCTCTTGTTTTAGTTCTGTAATCAATTATAATTTTCTTTTCATTCAAAGTATCATCAATTTCATAAACATTGATTGAAACTAACTTACTATTATTTTCTTCAAACCTTTCAATATCTTTATTACCAGTTGGAAATTTAACACCTTCCCAGTTTAAGATATTGTCATTTAATTTGTTGTAATGGAACATTTCTTGGGAATTTGATTTATTAATTATATCAAACACTACACTTTGAACACTATATTTAAAACATTTGTTATCTTTGTTTTTGATTTTAATACATGCCTTTTTTAGTTAATCCATTCTGGTAAATCTATATAACTACCCGCCCTAGTTGGGTCATATTTGTCATAATGGATTGTTATTGATAATATTTTTTTAAATTGTAAATTAGATGCTGAACCTTCTAGTTTCTCTATGTTCAATAAAATCTCTTTGATTGATTTTTCAATTGCTTCATCCAAATCGGTTTCATTATATATGTTTGCCCTTGTTGCAGGTAAATTATAAAGTATCTCTGTATGTTTTATTACTCCATCATCATCATCATAATGATAAAATAAACCTTCTGCCCTTATATTCAGTTTCATTGCTCTATTAGTTTTCAAAAAGGTCAAAAGTCTATCTTTTTGGTGGTGTATCATTGATAGTGCCTTTTCACCTTGAAAATGTTTATTTACTAGTTTTATAGAATTAGCATAACTTTTGAAAGCTGATTGTTGGTCTGTTACTTGGAATTTATTTTTGATTGCATATTTTGTCATTGCATTTTTCATTCTTTGTTTTAGGTATGTTGAGCGCAATGTTTTTGTTGCATAACTATTATACTCATTAGTTCTTGCTTCTGATTTTAATTTCTTGTTCAAAACATTTGAGATGGGTTGTTCTTTGTTGTATCTAAATTTTCTACCATCTATAATTATTGATTTTAATTCCTTGTTTCCTCTTTTTGGAATTTCCGCTTTATCATTATTCAACAGATAATCTATAACATGTTTCATAATACTATACTATATAAATTTAATGTGTTTATTTCTTTAAGTGACTTTTTAGAAAAATATACTTAAAGATTTAAAACCTTAATATAATAAGAGGAAAATGAACGGTGATAAAATCAATAATTATATCAATAAAAAATGCTATGATTGTTGTCACTTCAAAAAAGAAAATATGGATTTGTATAAATTGAATTTACCTAATGAAACAGTGAATAATATTATTAATTATTCAATGGATGAAGAAGATGAATGTAAAATTTGTCAGGAATGGAGAGATAATCAAGTTTTAATCAAATGTCTGTTGAGAATAAAAGGGAGACATAATAGAAATGTAGAAGATGAGATTTTAATATTTCTAACTGTAAATAAATTACCACCTTATGAATATGTTAAACAGTTTCTTAAAATCAGTAAGAAAAATATGTAATGATTGCTGATATATTATTGATGTTGTGTCATAGTCAAAAGAAAGGACAAGATATTAAAGAATATATTAAATTTTATATTGAAATTTATAAAAAGTTTAATGTTAAAAATACAGTGAGAGATATTAATATTATTTTTAAAATGATGTATGAAAGAAGAAAGATTTGTCAATTAAATTATTATCCTGTACTGAAATTATAATCATACTATAATAATAACATGTAAAATCTTATATGTTATAATTATACTGTACTTATAGTTTGTAAAGATTGAAATATTTCATTTTTTCTTGATTTGGCTGACTCTTTCAAAGTGCGTTGTTTGAACTTGGCATGCTCTTTTGAATTTTTTCGTGCTTTGGCTGTTTGTATTTTATTTTGTTTGATACTCTTCTGATATTTTTTGTTGGTATGTTGCTTTGTTTTTGTTGATGTGTGTTTTTGAGTTTGTGTTCTTTGATGGTTTTTATTTTTGCTTTTTTGTTGGTATGCTTATTTGAATTATTTAATGTTTTATGCTTTGATTAAATATTTTGTTGGGGGTTGTTCTGGTTTTTGAGTTGCTTGGTGGTTCTTATCTTGTTTTCTGTGAATTTTGCTGATTTTGTTGTATGCTGTTTGATTTTTTGGTTTTAGTTCTAGAAGTGCCATTTTATGTATTTTTCCCCCAGTCCTCATGAAGAACGAATGCTCCGGAGCAAGCTCGGCTGAACGAATCTTCCTGTCAGCTACAAAACTGAGACCCCCAGGCTCGGAAATGAGTCCAGATCAACTCCGGAGACAGCGAAGACTTCGAATAGAAGTAATATCTTTCGCGGTGCAAGCGTTTCCGCAACCAAAAAAGGCGAGCGGAGGGTTGGCTGTTTTTCAAGCCAGCGCGCAGATAGTCGCCGATGCTTTGTTACCCTTCTGGGTGACCCCAACGCGAAACATGGCCGGGAAGTTGCGGATGCCACTTCTGTATTAAGCGAATTAAGCATGACTTAAAACTGTGACACGCCAACTTGGTGTGTGGATTCAGCGGGGGAAACCAACTCGCAGCACGTTCATTGTTCCAGCGACTGCGAATTGTGGTAATATTTGGTAACCGAGTCCAACAAGTTGGGGGCAAGCCCAAACTGGGGGGAAATTTCCCATGGAACATGTCTCCCAAACTACCCCTGATGTGCCAAATTTCTCACAAATGTACCCCCGATACACCCAATTTCCCCGCAATGTACTCGCAATTTACCACACATTTGGACGCGAACGTTACCCAGAATTGCGGGCAAATGTTGCCGAGTCGGCAAGCCTGAAAAGTCCCCCCCCCCACCCGCGTAAAGAAGGCGTGCAGTTCATTGATGGAGGCAAGCCCTAACGCGTAGACAGTCCAACGGCGCGCGCTGATGGCGTCTAAACGCAGCCAGGCCAACAAATCGCTCCCGTCCAAGCCCATCATTTTCAATAAGAGGCGTCAGACGGCGTCGTTTGTAGAAACGACGCTCAACGGGCACTGTTGGTGCTCTAAGCGGGGGCTCAAATCGACGCTGTTCTCGCGAAATCGCGGCTGAATTCTCGCCGTCATTCCCAACACAGGCATCAGACGGCGTCGCTGGTAGAAACGACGCACGCCGGACTCCGTGGGATGCTTTAAGACTTGTCCACGCATACGTCCCCCCATCCTCGCAGCCTCACTCACGCATCCAGCCGCTCTTCCTTTTGCGTGTCGCCGCAAAAACGCAGCGAGTTGGAGCGAGACGGTTGGATGATGCCGCTTGTCCAAGAAGGTGTCTAGGCGCGCGCACCCTCGTACCCTCCCTCTCCCTCTCCCTCTCTCTCCCTCTCCCTCTTCCTGTGCTTCTCCCCGTGCCTCGCCTTCTCCTTCTGCCTCTGCCTCTCCCTCTCCCTCTCCCTTCCTCTTCTCCCTCCCTTCCTCCCTTCCTCGCTTTCTTCCTTTCTTTCGCGCTTTCACTTTTGAATTGCGGGTTTCGCTGAATGGAAGACGCGAAGCAAACAACATACTGGAGAAGTACGTGGACGCGCAAAATATGCAACAGGAAGCCCCGCGCACGCAAGTGCTTTCCACAGTTGTTTTGGGCTTGACTTTTAGTGTAATTCTCGGGCACTCAACGCAAAGATTTGGTCACAATGGGGAGGCCCTGCTTTTGCCACGCCAAGTCCTCCAGCGACAAGCCCAACTACCAGTACGGCCTGCCCAGCATGGACAACGGCCTGTCCGGAGCCGGCAAGCCCGGACCACTGAGCGAACTGAAGCCTAACGGTTGGCTACGTGCAAATAAGCGTGGCCATTTTGACGACGAAGCGGCTAGCTTAACATCCCAAGCTTGGAGTTTTGTGAGAGGGAGGCATCCTAGCCGGCTCACTTGCAGCCTGGCGTTATCTCCACGAAGTGTTGTTACTTGCGGAGTGCTCAAGATTTCTTGTACTTGACGGGTGTCGCGTACCACCCTACGCATGATGCGCTTGCAGCCTTTTGTGAGGACATGCTGCGTGGCTCCCTCGCCGCGTTCTTTGGTCATTGTCGGATAGTCATGAAACATAGCAGGACCTTTCGGGCCGAGACAAGCTAGTTGGCTTCTGACATGCTGGCGAAGCAAGCAGAAGGCAGCATGGCGGAATGACGGAAGGGGGTTGCCCCACAAATCCAAATAATAAGCGCAGGCACCAATCAACAAATCTTGAGCATTCCCTGTTCAAGAAATTCTCGTTCTGGTCGCCCACCCGCCAAGCGCATCACGCCATCATTCTGTTCCGTAAGTTTCTTGTGCGCCGTGGGGCAGGCTTTGGCACCACTTGTGCGTTATACTAGGTCAATGTGCTGCTGCAGGGTGATGCTGCTGGCCGAGACTCAGTGCTACTACTGTCGCAGGGTGCTGCAGGGCGAGACCCCAGAGTTGCGCATACTGTAGCAGGGTGCTGCTGCAGGCTGCTGGTGCAAGGCGCTGCTGCAGGCCGAGGCTCCGAGTTGCGCAGGGTGCTGCTGCAGTGCGCCAAGAGTCAGAGTTGCGCCAGCTGCTGCTTCAGGGCGCTGTTCTAGACTCAGGGTTGCGCAGCAGAGTTTCGCAGGGCGCTGCTGCAGGCAAGCCAGGGGTCTTCCGGCGCGTCGGAAAACATCGGCTCTGAGAGGCCGCGTTAAGCAAATCCACCAAATCTCCTGCAAGCGAGTGCCAGTGTTGCAAACCATATCTTTGCATATGTTGGCAGCGGATTGCCCTGCTGTAAGAACTATTTTGGCCGCTGCCCGGCACGTTGTGCTAAAAAACAAAATATTGCCTGTAAGAGGCGGTGCGTCAAGCAAATCCACGAAATCTTTCGTGGTATGTTTTTTGGAGAAGAGAATAAGTCTGGAACTGACATCAATAAAGCAAAGCTGCAACCCTTGGTTGCCGGTGTGTTTTCATCATGTCCTTGTTCTGTGCTTTGCGAAGAAGCAAACTTTGTGTGCCAGCGGGATGTGCGCTGAATTTGCAGGTTTTGTACGCTGCCAATTGGCAGCAGCCTGGTTGTGTGTTTCCAGCAGAAGCTGTTGGTTTGGCGATTCGTTTAGAAGACTGCATGTGACTTGTAGGTCTGGCATGAACAAACTTACCTCTTAAAAACACAACTTTTCAACTTTTTGGGTAACGTGGGCTATATGTCTGTAAAAGATTAACTTTCCCAGGGCTTGGAGTTTTAAGGGGTAACCAAAAGATTGGTCCTTGTAGTTGATGGATAAAGTCCTGGTCGGTGCATAGAGGGCTTTTGAATGTTGTATAGTTGTTGGAGGACAATCATCAAACAAAAGTAGCCGTTTGCCCGCTGGGAAGTGTGAAAGATTGTTGTTGGTCCATTTGGTCATTCCAAAATGTTGTGACGTGATATCATTGGCAAGTTGGCACGTTACTATCATTGCTTCATCCTCAGTAGTATACCATGTGTTGCGCGCCGTCGTCATTTCTGCAAAGCCACATGCCACACACCAACGCCCAGGTGGTTCAGTCCATCTCCTCGCTGCAGCCGCGGAACTATATCATCATGGAGGTTTGCCACCACTGTATGCAAAAACTTCCCCTTTTTCTGGCATGTGAAAACCACTGGGTAATTGAGCGGAATCCCCTGCGCAGGTCCTTGGTCCACACATGTGCTGGTGAAAAACGGCTGAGTTGAAGGACTGAGTTGGGCTCTTGTGTTTGATGAAACTAGCAGGTCATAAAATTGAGCTTGCAACATATTCAGATTCAGTTTTGTGACGCAGACATTCCCTTTTCGTGTCGGAAGATCATTTAGTGCGGAATCGAAAGTTCAGACTTTGTTTGGCGAATCCAGGCTTTAATGCAGTTAACATGTTCGAGTGTACGGCACCCCAACTGCATTCCTTCACACAGGTTCCTTTCATGAATGTTTTGTCGCCAGGTGAAGTCCAACCTTGTGGCGGAGGAGCGCGCGCAGATCCTGAAGCGTTTCCCATCGGCGCAGTACAAGAAGGCACATTTGGGGCTTTTTACCACGGCTTTTTACCACTTTTTACCACGCGAAAGAGGGTAGGGACTGCAATAGGAGGACACCCGCAGCATACGGCATAGCCCGCAGCTTCAGAAAATGTTGAATTTACCAGTTCCTGACCATGCGCAGTTGATGTGGCATGTGTGCGGCCCAAGATGAATCAAACAACTGGCACCTTGTGCAACCCTGCTAGAACGGCAGGATAGCTGCGATACTTGAAATTTGTTCCATCAACCAAATCAGGCACTAGTGCCCTGATTTTTGCAGTTGTTTAGTACTGGCAATTATTGCCTAGTTGGTCAGCATGCCCGTAGCAAGAGACTCATTTGTTCATCCTTCTGTCGTGTTCAGCATGATGGACCCTCCCCCTTCCCAAAATAAGTCTGGACAAAGTCATCCTTGCCTTTCCAAGATGGATCAGCACTGTACTGTATTCTACAGTATTCTGAAAGGAGTTTAGATCTTAGTTTTGCCGCATGTGCGACATGCCTCAGGTTGCCCACGTGGTCATGGGCGAGCCCGACGAGGCTGCTTCTCAAAGGGGTCAACAAGGGACACGACCGCTGCACAGAGCTCACTTCAAAATGCCATGGCCAAGCGAGCTTGATTCAGGTAAATTAGCAATCATCAGCCCCTTGGAAAACGGCGCAAGCAGTCTGAGGCTTCTTAAGAAGGCACCCACGATCGTGATACACAAAAGGAGTTAGAGCATGGCACTCAGGGACTTCCATTAAGACGCACCCAGAAGGCACCGCAATTCACCCATTCATTGGAGGACGTGTCCAGGTCAACTGATGCCGGAGTGCCAAAGGAAGGGCCCTCGGGTATCATTGGTTGACCTTCTCGGCCTCAATCTGAAGTGAGCAGATGGTAGGCAAAGAGACATCTGAAGATGCGCTTGCATATTCGAATCAGGTGGCAAAGTGGTGTTGCTTTGCAAGCACGAGCAGCAGGAATACAAGCAGCGGGTGCGCAAGAAGATCCTCAAGATCAAGCAGGACAAGGAGAACGCCTCCTGGAGGATCAAGAAGGCATCGATTTGCCCGCCAGCTGAAACTTCAAGAGTTCCAGGTGCTACAAGCGGCATCAAAGGTCCGATCGGGTTTGCACTTAAAGAAAAGAAAGCAGGGTGCTTTTAGGGCCGTGGGGGACTTGTTGATTTGGGCGTGGGGCGTTTGAGATTGCCGCGGAGCCACGTGGAGCCGTAATTTTTCGTGCGCTGCATTTGAACGCGTTCAACAAGAGAGCCACACGATTACTTTGAGGCAGCAACATGCTGTGTCGGGCTAGCTCGCACGCTCAGGAGGCAATCTGCAGGTGGAACTGGGCGGATGCGCCAATGTTCAGCATTCTGATGGTCTAGCCTCTTCTAGCCCATTGAATTGATCACGTTTACTTGTTGCGCCGTGGTCAATGGATCTATCCATTGGCGATGCCTCTAAAGACTGAACATCCGGTTCATAAATCTGGCAGTGCCCACAAACAGGGTCTTGCACTGAAAGCTGGCAAGGTGGGGGGCCGTGTAGCTTCAGGCGCAGCAAGAGCAGAAGAAGCGCATGGCCCAGCAGCAGAAGGAAATGGCTGAGAAGAGGAAGGCGGCAACAAGTGTTGGACAGTCTCCTCATGCTCACTCTGATAGGCACCATTCGCTGCCTGGGAACTGGTAATGTCCACCTTTGATACATACTCATAGGGCCTCCACCCCCCTAACTGCCCTCAAATACAGTTACGGTCAGGCAAAGCTTAGGCTTAGAATGTGTTTAGTGCTGGTCTTAAACAAAAACAAAACAAAAACGGATACTATTTTTAAAACGGGCCAAAGTAGTAATGGGAATTATATTGTAGTGTTGGGTCGCCACTAAACTAGTGCTGCACATTTGCTTTGTTGGGGGAAGGGGAGGAAGATCTTGATTTTTTTGGAACGCAAGTTTAGTATTAAGACAACACTAAATTGGTATTGGGCCAAGAACGTTCGCATGATCTTCGTGAGGGTTATTATGAACAAACATACAAGGGATTAAACATTGTTTGGGGTCACTGGGAGTGCTTAGCTTTATTTAGGGTCTGGCTTTAATTAGGTGCATGCAGCTTCACGGGGGGGTTGCCTTGTTGCCAGGGTCAAGGGTCAACTTTTGCAGGGTTTTCGAAAAAGAGTTTATGGAAAAAACTTCGGGATCTGCTGGAAGAATTTGAATGACATTTATGATGCCCTTGTTGTGGAGCGGAAACCTTGCCCCTGAATAAAGCTAAAAGGGATTATATATTTTTGGAAGTCGCTGGGAATGATAAGCTTTATTCATGCTCTGGTGTTTGTTTGGTGCATGAGGCTTCATTGGGGGTAACAAAGAGTTGTTTGAACTAACTTCGGGGTCTGTTTTCAAAAATAATTTATTGAATTTGTTTGGGGTTCCGCAGGGAATGGCTGAGCAATGGCCTGGTAATATGGTCAGTTGTTTTTCAAGAACTGTTTGCCCACCATGTTGTTTTTTAGTGAAAAAGGTTTAGTTTGATCTAGGGTTAGTTTTCGGTTTGTAGGTGGACAATACGGGTTTTTGTATTTTCCACGTTTGGGCAGCTGACCAAACATCATTGATGATGAAGACGCCTTCCTTTCGGCACTACGGGATCCCTTCACGTCGACACGGCGTAGCGGCAAACCGGTCAAGAAACACAGCACAGGGCCCCACCTCACATCGACCAACCCAAACAGGCCCAAGTAGCTAGTTGAGGATCTGGCAGGTGACGACCTCAAGCGATGCCAGTGAGTCTCGGAGTGCGCGGCAGTCTCCTGCACGCGAACATTGGAGCATCTTCACTCCGAGTGCACCACAAGTTTCAGATTAGATAGGGAGGCTTTTGTGTTCACGTATGCCAAACATCGATTCTTCCATAGGCTGCACAAGACAATAGAAGGTGCAAAATTATTCGATTCCGGCGCGGCTTTGCGATGACTTATTCGGTGAAACGAAGCAAATCGCCGAAAGGCTGAGGAGAAGAAACAAAAGGAAGAGGAAGACAAGAAAAAGGCCGAGGCAAGCAGGGATATGTCGGGTTCTCCTTTTCTTGGGTTTCTTTTGAATAAAAGGTCATTCGCTGGATCACCAACTTTCTTGCTAAATCGAGGAATCCTTGTCTCAGACTGAAGAATGAAAGAAACTGACGGTATTCTCCACTAGATGGGGAAAGTTTTTCAGGGTCATTTTGGGCCAATAATATTGATCAACCCTCGTATATGAATCTTCACAAGGATTGCAGCCACGTCCTGCTTAAACATGGGTTTCCCGCAGATTGTTTATCAGCCTGCTTTCTAAGGATCACAGTCTACGGTCTCAGTCTCTGAATCGTTTGCTCGCTGTTTTTTGTGTTCTCGTTGCGAACAGTATCACATGGTTAGTACAGCTGATCCCTACAAGATTGACTGCAGCAAAGACCACAGCCCACAATTACATACATGGATTGTTGCGCGTCCTTTGAGTGGTTGCCGTTTGCAGGGCATTCGAGTGCAGCGGGTTTGTGTTTGAGGCCACGTTTTGTTCTTTGGCTGACCCTGTTAGCATCGAGGAGATAACACCCAAAAGCAAGAAGCATGCCAGCTCATGTCTGGCCTGTGTTTGTTCGCCGGCGGCAAGTCTATGTGTGAGCAGTGGGCACGACCGGCTTGACCGTTTAGCAAGGGATCCACCGCATGAAGGCCAAATTTGGGAAGGCCATATTTTGTCTAAGCATCCATCAACCATCGACTGGGAAGGCCACCAGGCGCATGTTCAGAGCGCGACGTGGCACGCGGCAGAGGCCGGAGAGAACGAAGGTGAGCTTGATGCAACCGAAGAGCAAGAGGAGGCAAGGCTTGACAGACCCATGCTGACTTGCCATGTTGCTTTGAACTGGTTTGGCTGTCACTTTTGACACTTGGCTGCAGTAAATGATGTGTTGTTAGGCGTATGCCGCAGTCGTGTGATCGAAACAGTAGTGGGTTTGCTTCACGGTTTTGCAAGCAGGCTTATGTTCATCGACTCGAAACATCGGCAAAATGGCAATTTTTCATGAGGCTGTGCAGCCTCACGTAGCAACTCTCCAAACATGGGCCGTGCACCCTCCGCGAAGCCCCTTTGTTTTTATGGTTATGTTGGGGTAAAAACTGGTGCGCACCCTTTCTCGATGCGTCTTGAGCCAACGTTTCGGTCGGTCGCTTTGTAGAAACTCCCCCTGCTCCAGGCAAATCATACCTGTTCCCACCCCGAGGATTCGGATGTTTCCTCCCCGGCCCTAGGAAAAAACGCTACCGGACCCGCCTCAGTTCCTCGCTCCACCGGGCCACCCTTGGCATACCCAGTCTCCCAAGTTCTTGCCCGGGCCGATGAAGACGACGCCTTCTCCTTCATCTTCGTCTCCAAAACCTCCTTCTGAACCACCGAAGACGGCTTCCCGTCCTTCTCCTTGCTGCACCTGCGCTGTCCAGCTATCCTCCTCAATGCGCTTGAGACCCAGCCGTGACTCCCCGGCGAAGAGCTTCACCGTGAGCCGGGTCGACTCCAAGTCCACCGCATCCACTGGGAAATCTCTGAACCTTCGCTTCCTTGGTTTCCCATGAGCCCGAATGGCCCACCCCTGCGCCGACCCTTGCCCTTGGACTGCGGGGCAACCTTGGATTGTCTGGTCCTCGTCAATCTCCTTCTGCGGATTGGGCTTCGTCTCCTGCTCCACCCGAACCACTTCCTCCTCCGACTCCTTCTTCTTCCATCGCAGCGCTCGAAGCCTAGGTCGAACTTGTCGCTCACCCTGGCTACTGCTGGGCTCATCTCTGTCGTCCTCCAGGGGTCTCATCGATGCCCAGGTCCGCCAACGAAACTGTGCCTCTGAGCGGCACCCAAAAGGTAGTCGAACCCGTCCATGCGTTGGCCTCCCGGAAGGTGTCCTGTCTCCAATTGTCGACGAACGTCCTCCTGCCGCGCTCCTGGTCAACAAAAACCAGATGGTTTAACCTCCTGTCCCCAGCATGTGGATGTTGACCCCAGGCGGCATAGCGGCCGGATCCGGTTGGAAGTCCCGGCTCCGTCTGGGACCGCGACGATCCTTGTCTCCTCAAAGGTAACCTCCCACCGAGTTTCGCACCGGCCCAGACGGGCGTTCCGGCCATGGCATGGCGGGAGCTTCACGACGCCGCCTGTGGTCTATTCCTAGAAGCGAGGGGCAGCCCATTGGGCAGTGGTCAAATGGCTGGCAGCAAGGGTCCCAAAGTTTGAAACGCGGGGTGGTTCATCTTCCCCAGCCCTTCTTGTTGTCGCCGGTTCATTTTCCCTGGCGATCTTCTTCTCTGTCGGTTCTCTGACAGAGGTGCTTTCTCCCGTCGGTTCATGGTCCCTGACTGAGTCTCCAAGCAGAGGGGTCCTCTGATTGGTCGGTTCATTTTTCCTGACCATCTTCGCAACCCGTGCATGGTTGCCCTTCTGTGCGGCTGGTTCATTTTCCCCAGCCGATCTTGATTCCCTCTCGGGTTGGGCCCGTTGGCCTTTCAACACAAATCCTACACAAGGGACGCCAGACAGACATCCCGAATCAGACACGAACCCTGATCCTGGGCCAGCAGGCGATAAGGCCCATCAGCCCACTCATCGCCGCAATGGGTCCTTGCCGCCACCGCCTTCGTAGTCAGCCACCAACCCGCCACCCGGCAAATGCCTGATCTGCCATTCCCCTTCTCGCACTCGTTCCCGCGGCACGTATCGAAGGCGCTGCCTGGTGCGCCACGGCCAAAAACTTTGCACTGCCAATGCCGCCATAGATTAATCTTATCCCCATAGATTACACTGATTACACGCTCCTTGGCACCCCACTCCGCCATCGTCACGTTCTGCACCGTCACGCCCTTCATCGCGTCAGCCACATCCTTGACCTTCGCCTCCTGGCCTCATCCGGATCGTCCTCCTCTCATTCTGCTGGATTCGGATCCTCCTCCTCCGGCTCTGCAGCTTCTGAAGGCTCAGCGTCCCCAACCCCAAGCGGAATCGGGACTGTTCCAATCAGAACGTACTTCACCTTCCTGCCCGTTCCGACATCCTCCCCTGTCGAAAATGGCCCGGCGATGTCCGCGTTAAGGACATAGGACGGAATGCCCGCCTTGTACGGAGTGTGTCCCCGCCCAACGTGCTGCTTCCACTTCTCCAAGGTCATCTTCTTGAGCTCTCCAGCCTCCAAGATCTTCTCTTCCTTCCGCCCTTCAAGCCGCCATCTTGATGGCCGCCACTGGTCCCGGCGCCCATTTAGCCCACATCTCCATTTCTTGATGACCTTGGCCCTTCATTCCGTGGAGCTCCCCCATGCCTGGCAAGTTGGTCGCAAGCGTCGTGGGTGTTCTGCTCGGATGGCCCGCCGCTCCTTGATCTTGTTGTCCCGGCAAAAGTCCTGGACCTCCTGAAAGTTCCAGAAAGAAGGCGCATCCATTTCCACTGCCCTGGGGTCATACTCCACCGGGTTCATGGGAGATTCCAGCAAGAAACCCACGGGTCCCTTCTTCTCCTGCGCCAAAAGCCAAAGGCCCATTTGCTTGAACAACACCGCCGTGTCCCCGTTCACCTTCTTCACCTCCTCTTCCGAAAGACCAGGAAGGCCGAACCTTTGGTTGTCCCGTCCTCTCAGAGGTGGTGGTCCAGGCTGGTGATGCCTCAAT